GATTGACGTTTTTTTCTATCGCGATCGTTTGTATTTTTGAGATTTTATAAAATCAAAAATAAACACTAGTATTTACCATAAATGCATAATATGTTTATAACTCTGAAATGATATATAACGTAGATATAAATATACTAATTGTTATGCCTATTCGTTATATGTTAATGAAAATATGAAGTTAGGATATGTCGTTTAACCGTAAAATTTATTTTCTTTAAAGATTTTCAAGTTTTTGTTTCAAACTTTATTTACATACAAAAAGTTATATATACATTTTGAAAGACGAAGATGCTAAATGTAAATAAGGTGAATCTTGATAAAAACATTTTAGTTGATTAGTTCACCCAGCATTGTCAACTTCCTTTCATTCCTTCAAGCTTAGTTGAGCTACCCGTAGACGATTCAAAATGTTTAGCTCAACCATTCCGCTAATTTTAGCTCAGTGAATTAGTTTTGAACTGAAATTTACCCATTGTATCAATCATTTACCATTTCCTTAAGAACTTAGATGAGTCTTCAATATTTTTACAATTATCGCAACACTTCTCTTTGTCGAACTAAGTTTAATTCGGATTTATGGTTTATCTAACCTTCCCGTTTATTACTTAGTCCACGAACCATCCTTTATCCAACACGATCCACACATTCATATTTCTTAAGCCAATTTCCACTTTAGTTCGATCTTGATCATCCCCCTTGCACATGCATGCGTTCCCGAAACGATTTGTTTTTTTTGTCGAACAAAGTTTAGCTATAATAGTTATTTTATCCAGTTATTTTCATTTATAATGTCTTTTTTTTTTCTATTAAAACTGTATCCTCCCTGATTTGGTTACATTATTGGCCTTTGATTTTGTTGACGTGTGTGTGGTGATGTGATGTTATGATGTTACGTTTAGTGCTGCTAGTTCATGATTGGGCCCACAAAATTTTGTTCCGTAAGTGCTATGCCCTTTTTCTTTAACACCCGAATTCGCACCTTCCATGTTATACTTCGCATATCCACCCAATTTGTTTCTTTCTTTTCTCCCTATATTATTAACCTTAAACTACTAAAAGAGTTTGATGTTTGAAAAAATATTTTTAAAGTGTTGGCCGATTGATTGTTGTCAGGCAAAGACCAAAAGAGAGTACTCAAATCATTTTATCGCGAAAGAATAAACGCAAACCAGCAGTGTTATAGGTGAAAAGGTCGTTTCTATGAGAGTTCAACTAGAAAAACATAAAGTTCGAAATAGATTGTTCCACAAACGATTTGGTAGTAATTTATTGTATGAAATATGATTGTGTAAGTTTCAAAAAACAAAAAATATATGATTGTGTATTATCTTGGACTCTATGTATAATGAGCGGCACTCGTCGAGATATTTGAGCAAATATATATAATCCATGTAATCGAAAAAACTATCATCCTTCTACATGTTCTATAGAAAGAGGCAGAAGAATAAAATAATTTGGGTGATTTGAGAAAACTTTATACAAGTTCTGAAAATTTGGTCCGTAGATAGAATATGGTAGTTTTGAATTCGGTGAATATAATCAAACGGCAATGTGGTTGAATACACTATCGTAATACATATGATATATATTTTAATTTATGATGCTACATTACATATACAACATTTGTTAGTGGCTGAATAAATTCATCCTTTTTAACCGCTGATAAATATATATGATCGTGAAAATCTGTCAAGAATGTAAAGGATGGGTTATATGAAATTCTCTGTCACCTAACTATTTATGGTTTATGAATTTGAAACAGACTATTAGCTCGATAGAAAAATGGTGGATTAGGAAGTGGACACTGATCTCTTTGAGCAAGATAGAGACAATAATTGATATGTTCTAAATTTTTTTTCATTATTTAATTTCTTGAGCAGTTGTGGCTCTTGAAATGAAAACCCTTTGATGATCACCAAATTCCAAAGCTCC